TTAAAGCCCGACCGACCGTAATCATCCCTCCGCGGGCTCACGTTGTCATCTATAAGGGCGATTGCTCACCCTTGCCGCCGCTCTCGTCCTTGCCGCCCGACTGTCCCGGATGGTCGGCGAAGATGGCCACGGCCAGCGCGTTGGCACCCTTCTTGAACTGGTCCACCACGGTGTCGTTCAGCGGGTCCTTGTTCTTCTCCAGCCAGCCGATCAGGTTGTACGCCACCTATCGTGAGTTGGAGAAGTTCAGCTTGGTGACATGTCCACGACATAGTTTGTGAGAAGTCGGCTCAGGGCGGGTCAACCCAGGCAAAACCGCTGCTCGCGACAGTCGAGGTCAAAATAGTACAAGAGACCGTACATGTAACAAAACATCAAAGCCCGCTCCCAAGTTTGATGTCATGTTTTTAACCAGAAAGAAAAGTCAACAGCCGAGTCTCACTTGCTCCCAGCACCGCCCCAAAGCTCCCCTTCCGCGCGCACAACCGTTGCGGTTGAAGACCGCGGTCAGCGGGTCTGTGGTTGATAAGTGAGTCCCAACAGTGGTTCCGTCATGTCAGTCCCCATCCCAGGCATGCAGGCTGAGCAGACCGACAGACAGCTCCCCACACCGGCGGGGAGCAGCCCTGCGGACTGACCGTGCCGGCATAATGGACGATGGCGAAGTGGGCCTCCGCCTGGCCCTGCTTGGGGGGCCTGGGCTTGATGAAGCAGGACGACTTGCCCAGGTGGTTGTTCTTCAGCTTCTCCTCGAACGTCTTGTCGGTGGCCTTGGGGAACATGCTCTCTTCCTCGAGCAGCGAGAGCACTCCCATCGGCTGCGGGAAGCGGTGACAGAAGTGTGGACGCGGATCTCCGCCGCGTGGCATCGTCACCGCCGGAAGCGCCGATGCGCAGGCATGGTTGGCTCACAACGACGCACGCAAAATCAAGGCATGTCTCCCTCAAGAGATTTTGCGATGATGGGCATCGTAGTACGCTAACGTTTAACATCTCTTGGTTTTCTCAACCGACGCAGAGGTTGTCCTGTTTGACGTGTATACGAGCTAGCTTGCGGAACAGAAGGCTTACCTTGCGTTCAAATATGCACCACTAATGTGTTTAGGGTTGTGAATGCAAAAATATTTCAAAGGTCGCAAGCTACACCATGATTTTAGCCAATTACCGAGAAGCACGAAACGTCCAGCCATCGAGGCAATCCAGTCCATTTAGATGCGAAGATTTAGAACGCCGGCGTAGTGCCAACGCTCCATGGCTTAGTTTAATGAACTTTTCGGCGGGACATGCAGGCTGGTAGACAGAAAGCGTTAGTCTAGTTGCTACCAGGCGTAACCGAGAATCGTGCAGTGGATGGGGTTCTCAAAGCTCCCCCGACTCTCCCGAGGAAAGAAGCTTCGGACTCAGCGAAGCCCGAACCAATGATGTGCGATGGAATCAGCTTAGCCAAGAAGCGAACATCCTCGCGTAGCCACCCGAAGCCTGGCCGAGCTGAGTACGATCCTTGACATCGCGTCGGGCTGCGCTTATACCGCAGCACGTGTAGCCGCGCAGCGCGTAAGCTGGCGCAGCATCATGTCAGAGACTGTTCGCCTGCGCTCAGCCTGAGACAGTACCCGCTCGATCAGGTCAATACAAGCTTGCAGGTCGAGGCCGAAGTCGATGAAGGTCCATTGAAGACCCTCGCGCTGGTACTCCTCCTGCTCCAGCACGGAACATGTGGTGGTGTTGAAGAACTGCTGAAGCTTCTCGTTGGTGTAGTTGATGCACAGCTGTTCAAAGTTGTTGAGCTGCGGGAAGGATCTGGGGTGTTAGTGCACACGCCGGGCGAGGGCGGGTCGCCTCTTGACTTCGTTTCAAGAGTGGGGGCACTCGGGACGGACCAGATCGCATGCCGTGATCATCCGGGCAGCTGGGCAGGCGGACCGCAGTTCTGTGCGGCTTCCGGGCCAGGGAACGGGTGCACACGTGGTACAAACGCGTGTAGGTGAGGGAGGGGGCGCGTAATACACTCGCGTGCAGATGGGGACTGAAGTTTTAGGAGATTGAAATTCACACAGACATGCGGGGCAGGGATGTCAGACCAAACCTTTCTGACATGGTCACTTACAGCACTCGCTGCGACCACGATGGCAGTCACCGCACGAGGGGAAATGAGGGGGCAATCCGCTGTTCAGGGCGGTCTCGGCGAACAGGTCACGCATGTCCACACGTGCAGGCAAGCCGGTCGAGACACGGCTGATGGAGGGTTCATGCTGGTCGTGGACGCGTGCCTCCCTCTGGCGGACGCGGGGCTGTCCCGGTGAGCCAGCGTCCTTATTTACAGCTACGCAAACGGCGCCGGTTTCCTGAGGCCGAGCATGCTGGCACGAACACGATGCGGACTGCGAACTGCAGCTCACGTGCTCCGCTGGGGGGGGGGGGGGGGCGTGCACTGGGGGCCACCGTTGTACAGCGGTGGTGAGTGTTATCGATGGACTGCAACGTACAGAACCAGATCAGCAATCGCCTTACTGATGGCTGTCGCGATCGTGCTTGGATTCATGCGGGGTGTAGGAGGCAGCTGAGTTCTAAAGACTTCTGTGAGGCAGCAGTTGATGGTCGGTCTGCTGCTTGTCCGGAGGCTGCAGCAGACAGGTGGCCCGCTTGGTGACAAGTGTGCCGGACACTGGTCTAAGGCCGAGAGGCTTGATAGCGACAGTTCCAGTCTTCGACTCCTCGGTAGAGGTTTGGTCAAGGCTTCAGCTGTCTCACAGCACCAGCCCGAACAACACAGCATCCTCGGTATCAAGAGGAGTCTCAAAGTTCTTCGGCTCGTCAGGAAACAGAAGTTTGGGTACACCGGGGAAGGCAGGAAAGGCCAGATAATTCCTTTCAGCGGCGGCGCTGACCGTCGATGAAAATGCCTGCATACATGCGCTTTGGTAAGGCATTTCTTGGACGGATTGCATTTAGGAATAGTTGAATGGAATGTATTCAGTTGAGCTGGTCTCATGCTCTATCCAGCAGCGGTGTAGCTGTTGGGCCGACTTGGCTCGTTCGACCAGTTTGACTGCATTCGCTTCTGACTTCCTTCATTCCGATGCTGGTGAGACCACTGCCCTCACGCTTCACGCCGTTGTGGTAAATCGACACCCCAACTGCCGACGACCACGACCTACCTTGCTTCCTTATCCACCGCGCCACAAGAGGTTATCCAGACACCGACAGTTTATGCAGTTCACGGTATGGACATCTTTAGACGACACAATCAGTGTTTACTGCTAATCTAGGACTGAACAGGTGTCCATCCGCTATACTAAGGTGTTGTTCGACTAGGACGTCTGTATCACTTCCTAAGGTGTTGTTCAACTAGGACGTCTGTATCACTCCCTAGGCTGTTATTCCAGAGGACCGAACCGATGCCATCAGTTCTCATGCAGACGGACAGTGTAGCATCTCATTTTGTTCTCTGTTTACCTTCTCCATGAGATCAATACACGCCTGCAGATCCATACCAAAGTCGACAAACTTCCAGTTAATGCCCTCCCGTTTATACTCCTCTTGTTCGAGTATGAACATGTGGTGGTTAAAGAACTGCTGCAGCTTCTCGTTGGTGAAATTGATACACAGCTGTTCGAAGCCGTTGAACTAGAAGAAGAGAACAGTACGGAAAGTGAGAGCCCTGTCCTGCCCGTATGGTGCTCCATCAGCTGGGCAGAGCGCCCAGCTGATGTCAGCGATGGGTAGCTGTAGCTGAGGTCAGAGTACCGCTGAGGTTTGACCTCAGCAGTGGCGCTGAGGTCAGGGTGGTTCGGGGCCTCCGTCCGTCTCAGCAGACGGGGAATAGCACGTGGAAGGGAGACAAACCCACGCACACCCCGTCCGGGGTGTCTCTGAGGGGCGGGGGGCAATGCAGGACACTCTGGTCGTCCACAGAGTGGCGCCTGCCGGGGGGGGGGGGGGGGGGGGAAGAAGCGACGCCGGGGACGAAGGCTTCCTGAGGCGCAATGCCAGCGCCCGTTGCCGGCTGGACTTACGACGAAACAGCTGCCCCTCAGAACGGCAGTCAGCTGCTAGACCGAAGAGACTGTATGACGCGCTGTGATGTGGAAACGATCGCCTCTCAAGAACGCTCAATATGAGCCTGCATCGGCAGGGAAAAATGTAGCAGTCGTTACGAGGGAGTTGTGCGTCAAAAATGGGAACATTTACCACTCGTAACATGGATGAGAAGCGTTCGTTTCCACAGCTATCTGCGCCGCCAAGAACCCATGTGCCGAGCAGCCTGATCCAATGGAGGAAACTGGCAAGAGCAAAGAAACGGGCAGCAGCTGAAGCTTCATCAAAGCCCTGCAGCGGCAGCGGCGGCAGCAGCAGTAGCAGCAGGAGATCCCAGTCGATAGGTTACCTTCTCCATGAGGTCAATACAGGCCTGCAGGTCCATGCCGAAGTCCATGAACACCCACTCGATGCCCTCCCGCTGGTACTCCTCTTGTTCGAGCACAAACATGTGGTGGTTAAAGAACTGCTGCAGCTTCTCGTTGGTGAAGTTGATACACAGCTGTTCGAAGCCGTTGAACTAGAAACGAACGTTGGCTGGTGATGCTCTCCCAGGCGCCGAACCGCAGCCACTAGCTGGTGCCACCAGCAGGGCGCCTTCACGTGGGGGTATTCACATCGGCCCAAGTCTCGGTGGGCGGTATGGGGGGGGGGGGGCAGGGTCTCCACAGCTGGAGGGGGGGGGGGGGGGCATGCGTAGCTCCGTAAGCATGCAGGGCCGTCCAGCACATGCCGCTCCTGTAACAGTGTGACGTCGGGATCTGTGTCCCGCGTCCGGACACCATGAGGTCACGCAAGGGTCACCAGGGGTCACTCGGGGTCATTCGAGTGGAGGGGGGGGGGGCGGGCACACGGGGGTGGAGGTTACCTTCTCCATCAACTCAATACAGGCTTGCAGGTCCATTCCGAAGTCGACAAACACCCAGTCGATACCCTCGCGTTTGTACTCTTCTTGCTCGAGTACGAACATGTGGTGGTTAAAGAACTGCTGCAGCTTCTCGTTGGTGAAGTTGATGCAGAGCTGCTCGAATCCGTTGAACTGGTAGGACATCGGGGTGTCAAGTTTACAACTGAGCTAGGGCACGGGGATGCACCATCAAGCCGCCATCGCAGTAGGCCTGGTGAGAGGATTCGAATCATGACTGGACGTCTGCCGAGTGGCCTGTGAAGGGCCACGAGTTTTGCTACATATCGATCGTTGTCGGCGGAAACCGCGAGCGGAGAAAGCTGAGGAAGCGACGAATGTGTTAGAGTGACGTCAACATCATTCTCCTACACGTCTAATCACTATTTAATATGCGATCTTAAGGCAACGATTACGCACAGCCTACGGACGGAACGTGAGCAATTGGAATTGAAGAATCCTATCTCTCCATCGCTACAGCTGACAGACGCTAGTTCAGGCACAACACCATCGCACGAGCAGGATAACTACTCAACAGACGCAAACCAAATTATGGCGACACACTAATGACCCCCTTGTCTCAAACCCCCACATATTTAGAGATTTCTGAAGACTTCTGAAGATTTCTGTCCAGGTCGCACGCCACGCCGGTCGTCATACTCACGTCGAAGATTTCGAAGCCGGCAATGTCGAGCACGCCGATGAAGCGGTGCCGCTTCTGCTTGGTGTCCAGAGTCAGGTTCACCTTCTTCACCAACCACTTGAACATGCGGTCGTACATGGCCTTGGCCAGCGCGCCCACCGAATAGTAGACCTGGTGAACGCTCCAGACGGTCAGACACACTGAACGAGACAGACACATAGGACATGCGTCAGGGATGTATCCGGAACATACGACTGTAAACACAATCGAGAGACTCCAGAGGAGCCAGCAAAATCCGATAAGAGCGTCAAACAGGACTCAAATCGAGATCGGCTACGACAGCCCCTTCTGCGATCTTTTCGCGGGATTTCGGCTTATGATCAATTTGGCCGCTAGCGGTGTTGCGTGGAGCAGCCCGCCCTTTGCTTAACCACCGCGTCACAAACGTGGCGCAGTTTGATTGGTCCGTTCCGCCGGACGGCGTGTCACACTCACCTGGTCCTTGTTGCGACCCTGAGTCACACTCACCTGGCCCTTGTTGCGACCCTGAGTCACACTCACCTGGTCCTTGTTGCGACCTTGAGTCACAAACTCGTTGCCGACCTTGATCTTGGGCTTGAGCAGGTTCAAGTAGAGCTGGGGCCCCTCAACTCCGACCAGCTTGGCGACACGGTCACCCTCCTGTGACGTCACGGCGAACGTCAGTGACGTCAGCGGTGGGGTGTCACGTCACGGGGGCAGGAGGGATCGGTTAGTCGGCCCTGTCAGGAGGAGCCCTTCGGGGTGACCTCAGGTCGGGTGGGGGCGGGGTCTGAGGGCCTGCCACGGTCGTGGTAGGTAACGCCGGTCGTCAGCGACACTGGCGCCAGCGCCGTGCGGTGGAGAACATCGGAAACTCGACAGGGTGACACTTGGTCCCAGCTTTGGAGGACTTGAATCGGGCGTAATTCGGGTGACGTTGCAAACTCGAATCAACGGAGGCGATTTCATGCTGCTGGGTCGTGCGAGAAACGTGCAGACTGAAGTTCCGAAACACTATCGTTGCCAGACCACCTGCCTGGTAACATGAGGGGTACCGGGGAAAACGGTCCGTCAAGTTAGTATGGAAAACGTTTGGTGGATTAGAAGTTGGCAAATCGTGAGTTGCTAGTGGTGCTCAATGCAAGCTTCGTTTTTAGACAGCTGCATAACTGTTAGTGAAAGAGAGATAGTTCGAGTAGTTACGGTCACTGGCGATGCATATCGAGATGTACAGCAATGCGGTTGCCTAGATACGGAGGCAACAAAAGTAAACGTTTCCACTGGCCTCTTCAATGCGTTGGCAAAATGTGCCAGAAATTCATGACGTCATCACGCAATGCATTTTATTTATCTGAAGTAAAGTTAGAAGCGTTGTGCTTGCATATTCCGAGGCCAGTGGAAACGCAGCAACCATGTTCTGCGAACACATCACCCCAACGCGGCATAAAACAGCAGCGAAAAAGGCTCCGGGCAGCCAGCAAGCTCCGGAACCGCTGAAATAAAGATGGCGTCGCTCGTGCGCAGGCCGACAGGTGGCAGCAGCTGCGACACCAATGGTGGCCGATCTTACATCCTTGCCGTCGGCCTCAGCCTGCTCCTCGCGACCGCGCTGCTTGAACTTGAGCGTGCTCAGGTGCATCACCGAAGCCACAATCTTATAAATGTTATCTTTCTCCTCCTGGTTAAAGCCGAGGATGTCGAACGACTCCTGAGGACGCGCGACACGACGGGTCAGCACCATGCGGCCGAAGGCCGGCCGCCATTTTGTTCACGTACCGCGCTGCCGTCAGCCTCAGCCTGCTCCTCGCGACCCTTCTGTTTGAACTTCATCTCGCCCAGGTGCATCACACACGCCGTGATCTTGTAGATGTCCAGCTTCTCTTCGGCCGTGAATTGCAGGATGTCGAACGCCTCCTGCACAAAATGGCGGCGGCGGCGCGGCCTCGACCGTGAAACAGCGCCCCGGGGCGCGCAAAGCCGTAGCCGGGCAGCGAAGCCGAACGGGGGTCCCGGATTTTGCCGAGGCAAATAGCACGAATTGGGCCGACGAACGAGTCGGAGCGGCTGGTGAACACAAGCCGTTACAGGCTTGTCAACTGGCGAAAGACGCTTTCAGTGTGGTGCTGCTTAGAGCACAAAACTGGAAGCCAAGTTCGCCACAGTTTGGACATGGCTGTGCTGCAGACACACTACAATTTTGCATCATGCTCTTATGTACGTTGGTCCGAAATATCCCATGGGTTATACCCGGCTACGGCCTTGAAGAAAGCGATGATAGCGAATACAGACATGCATATAAACGCAAATATACAGCTGGCGAAAAAGCCCGCTGAGGTGCATAAACACATTGAGCTCAACAGGGATGAGCAGTGTAACGTTGAATAAAAATTAACAGCTAACGGATCAGAAGCATGTAAAAAATGTTCCGAGATCTGACGTGACTGTCCAAACTTTAGCTGAAAGCTTACTGATACCACAAGCTAGGTCAAACTGGCATCATCGCCAGTCAATATGTTGACGTGAGCAGCTGCTCCCCTCGGAGCAGGGGGACAGGACAGAAGGGGTGAGGCCCAGCGAGCGATCAGCAGACGACACAGCTGGCCCCGTCTCAGAGGCAGCTGCTGCAGGCGAACATGCACATGCGGAGCCCATCCCCGGTGTTGGACTGGTGCGGCGTCCACTGTCCACTGTGGACGACAGGGTGGACCCGGGACCGCTCACGGAGATGAGAACTCATCAGCCCAGAGACAGGCCGCTCACATCGGCTCTGTTCCTTACTGTGGTGCTGTTTGCTTTTCTAAGAAAGAGAACTGGCCATGTGAACACTGATGCGTGGCATCGGTCAGATTATGTTCACAGCTGAGGTACGAAAGGGAACTGGCCATGTGAACACTGATGCGTGGCATCGGCCAAATTATGTTCACAGCTGAGGTACGAAAGAGAACTGGCCATGTGAACACTGATGCGTGGCATCGGTTAAATAATGTTCACAGCTGAGGTACGAAAGAGAACTGGCCATGTGAACACCAATGCGTGGCATCGGCCAAATTATGTTCACAGCTGAGGTACGAAAGAGAACTGGCCATGTGAACACCAATGCGTGGCATCGGCCAAATTATGTTCACAGCTGAGGTACGAAAGAGAACTGGCCATGCGAAGAATGATGCGTGGCACTGGTTAAATAATGTTCACAGCTGAGGTACGGAAGAGAACTGGCCGTGTTAGCACCAATGCATCGCATCGGTCAAATCATGTTCACAGCTGAGGTGCGGAAGAGAACTGGCTATGTAGACAGTAATGCATCGCGTTGGTCGATTCATGATTAGTTTTTTGTACCGATTGCTTAGGTCCTAGGTTTAGGTTCAAGTATCATTCCAGTTATATCTGCCTGGTGTATGCATTTTTCTCTGTAAGTTTAACGTATCAACCAATGATATCAAAACAATCACGAAGGAAAAACTTGTAAGCTGGGTATTTGTTTCGATCTAGCTGATCTGGCGCTTTGAAGCAATTTTCGAGCGTGTTTTCTGAAGGAACCCTCGAAACAGATGAAGCTATATGTGCAGCATATGCAAACTCGTATGTCATACAGCGCTCAACGTTGCGACAGTCTGACTACGAACAGAAAACGCTGAAGATTTCAGTCACTATCCATAAGCATTGACGCCGAGGATTGTACAATCATGATGTTATGTTTTAGAACATCCACGTAAGACAGCCATGACGAGGCATCAGAAGTACAACCACTGGAGGCTCATGAAAGTACATTACACATCTCGTTTTGTTTACACAAACATCTTTTCACAAAATCTTCATGAGGCATTTCATACGCTTCTCAAACCCCCGTCTGCATTGACGCTACCTGTGCCGCATTCATCTTAATCGCACTTAATCGCACTTAATCGCCCCCGCATATAGAACAGATGCCAAATCAGACCGCCCCAGCCCGGCGGTTCGTGCACTCACATCCGTCTCCTGCATCATCTCGCCATCGTCGACGCCAGGGATGGTGGTTTTGCCCTGCGAGACGAACCGGTACACCCGGATGCTGGACGTCAAGCCGAGCATGTCTGCCGAGTTATGGGCGGCTAGTGAGTCGGACGTGGACGAGGCACGTTCGGCAGGGTTACGTCGCCGGCCGGGTCAGCCGTGGTTATGAGTGACTGTTGCCTAGGTCACGAGGACACGGGAAGCAGACAGAGGTGCAAATGGCAGCTCATACCCTGGTTTTGTTGTGGTGAAGTCATCAACTGACTCAGCCCAGCCTGTTTGCGGATCGGGACTGTCTGCCCGCACCAAGCGCTCTCACGCTAATGGTGGGCACCAGTGCTGTTGGGTATGTGCACCACTGCAATTTGCACCTTTGTCTCATACATGAACACGGTCGCTGGTGGGCTGCGCCGTTCCTTGTGAGATAGCTACAAACAAGGCCTGCTTTCGATGCAAAATCAGTCGCACATTTATGCCTTTTTGCAATTTGTAAAGAAATTTTCATGAAATTTTCCAAAAATCGACGGACGACATCGCTTTGGATTTCAAACCATATTTTCCCTTTCCGATGACGTGAAACCAGTGTAATGAAGGGAGCCTTCACCTTTCAATGATCCCTCCGTGCTTCAGGTTATGACAACCAATCATTTTCAAAGAATGACTGCACTTACATATAAAGAAGATTCGAAAGCAAGCCTAGTGCAATAACTAACACGCAGGACAATCACGAAGGGAAACACGAAGACGTAACACGATCTCGATACGCCTCGCCATACCCACGCCCCCGCCAGTGGCATTTTACGGCCAGTGGCATATTCATTCCATGAATGCTGTCTTTCCATTTCGTTGATTTGCATGCCACTGTTCGGAGCAAAATACCAATTCAGCCTCCCTGACTAGTCCCTGCAGCCGTAGACTGCGCCGCACGATAGGGTTTCGTCGGGCGGCACAGTCTACTAGCGCCGGGTATTTCGGTCGGCTCGGGGGCCGTGGGCCCTGGCGAGGTCTGATGGGGTGGCGTCGGACGGACCAGAACACACACACGAGCACGGAGACGGCACGGGCCGTCACTCTGCCCGCCGCCGGTTCTCGGGCGGCGTGGGAGGCACACGAACAAGACGTCACAGTCACGCAGCCAGCCGTCACGCCCACAGAACGTGACGCGGACGTGAGGCGGCGCGTTCCCCGCGCCGGCTTCACAGAGAACAGGAAGAAGTAGCGGCGTCTGGGCAAGCCTGTGGGCGACGATGGCGACGATGCCGGAGACGATGGCGCAGCGGACGGGAGCCTCTCTTCTCACTGCATGACCTTGGTCTAAGAAGCCGGCAAGGCGACGCCACAGGGTGACGCCCGAACGAACTCAAGCTCGACTAGTACCACTGCGGTATCTGTGGCTAGTTCAAGCTGTATCTTCCCTGAGAAGACCTGTGCTGTAAAATCCCTGTGCATAAATGCAAACATATCTTCATTTCAAAACCTACAGCTAATCAAGTAAATTGTCGTTTGTCTGCATGTGTCGGTTGTCTCTGGTGGCCTAAATGTTTTACAAAATGGCATCCATGGCCCAGAGTTTTTTATAATGAGCCATTATACTTCAATGTCCACCTGTTTGGATAAAGAACCAGAGCGCTTGCTTTTCAAGGCAAAGCCTTTCATTTAGTGACTCCTCTTCCTCTCTTGCCAAAGTCACACCCAATCAGCTACTGTCGCACGATCTTCCACTGTGGATATTCCTGTCCCCCGTCGGAGCAACCTGTCAAAAGCATTCGACCGGCATGCGTGGCGCTGCATGCCAGCACCACCGCCTAGTATTACAATAGGGAAGTGAGCTAACCTCTTGGCTTGACGCCCAAGGTCACTTCCATCCAGGGATTCATAGAATCTCTCGTGGATTCGGCATCCAGTGTCATGCCGTGGAGGGGGTTCCGCGAAGTCGCTTTGTTTTGGTCGGTGGTTTTCACACAGCAAAGCGAAATATTGAGGGGGGGGGGGGGGCAGAGATGCACTAAGCGGACAGCATGCGCGAAGCGGAAAGCAGGCACCATTTTTGGGCGTTTGATGGTATTTCCAAACGGAAGCACGGTCAATTCATGGGAAAGGTGATTGGGAATAATTATTCAATTATCGAGACTTTAGGATGATTGTGCAAGCAAGTCGCTACATTAGGAAAGGGACGTGGCACGAATTGTGATATAATCTGAGTCGTAGAAAGCATGGATATTTGGATGCGAAGACAAATGAAAATTCGGTCCATGGTGAAAAGCACAAGAAAGCCGGAGTAACCTGAAAACACAAATCAAACTGAAGGGACATAATGGCTTTGAATAGAGCTAAAGATGGGATAGTGGGCAGGAGATCAGGCCGGGATTCCTCATGCCGGACCAGGTCTGAGACAGAGAAGGGGTCGGCAGGGGTCACCATACCGCCCCTGACGAGCAGGGTCAAAGGGTCAAACGCCTTACATCGGTAAGCTGCATCTCCTCCTTGTCATCGACGTTAGGGATGGTGGTTTTACCCTGGGAGACGTAATGGTAGTCTTTTATGTTGTCGCTGAGGTAAAGCTTGTCTGCAGGAGACGAACAAACCGCAGGGTGTTACCATGGTTACAGAGAAATGTCACGTGTTGCGCGGTCAGCTGGCGACAGCCCGAAGGGAAGCGAAGGACGGTGAGCGTGTGACGTAACTCGGGATCGACGCAGAAGCAGGAGTCGAATTCCTGTATGAGGGCACAAAGGGGTAAATTTGGTTGCAATTTTGGGCACTTTGTATGCATGAATCGTCTACATCAGCATACTAATGTAGCTTTCATGAAATATCAGAACTGCTGAAACGCCATGCGTTTCAGATCGGTGTGCCGACGACCATCCGTCATGCGTCCCGTAATCAATGAAATGTAATGTAAATGTAATCCATCGTTTCAAGTCAAACTTTAACCAGGATCACCAGAATGGCTCTGGACACCCTCGTGCAGATCAGCTCTGCGGGCAGAGAGGGGGAACGGATGAGGAGTGCGATGGTTCATGCTAGTGCGGCGCAGGCAACAGCAGCGCCCCTGGCGGGGGCAGCCACAGTCAGCGGCGGCAGGCGGCTGAAAAAGATTCGCTGTTCGGTTAGCACTCACGTCTGTCATCGTCATCTCCTCAGCGTCGTCCACGCCCGGGATGGTCGTTTTGCCCTGGCTAACGAAGTTGTAATCTGTGATCTTGTTGGTCAGGAGCAACATGGCTGCCGCGAAATGGCGGCGTTATCGGCGCATGCGCACACGTCGGCAGCGCTGCTGGCCTGAGCTCCCAGGCGGAGACAGCGCGCAAGGCTCGGGTTGCGGCAATAGCATGTGGTTGGCAGCGATGGATATTTACAATTCTGGTGATAGCCAAGCTTAGTTGAAGACGACTATCATTGTGTGCCAAAATTCTGACCGAAGGAACACCATATGCGAAACAGGAACTGCGAAACAAGGCCGCGGTGGTGTAGCGGTTATCGAATAGTCAGTGCAGGTCCATGGGCGATGCTCCAATTCGTTTCTGTGAACGCCAGAGGTAAATCAAGCATGTATCAGCGTAAAATCCGGCATCAACAATTCCTGAAAGCGAATAAGTATCACGCCCACTTCCTCCGATGAGGTCGATGACACACCAACATTCGCCACCAGCCTCACGCTCTACCGAGAATCACGTGACCTCCTCCAGCAAACCGATTCACAAGGCTCCCACCCGACCCGGTGATAGTGGCCCGCCACAGCCAAACCAAACCAAAGCCACAGCCAAACGCCTGAGAGGCGAACGTCGCCTGCGGCGGTGTGCTCACCCTTGAGGCCGGAAATGGCACCCGACATGATCTGGTAGAACATGTGGTAGGAGCGCTCGTTGGGCTGCTGCGAGATGACGCGAGCCTTCTCTAGCAGGTAGGTCTCGATGTCGGCGCCCGCCAGCTTGCCGGCCGGCCCGAAGTGGATGCGGATGAATTTACCCTGGAGCAGAGTGTCGGTGTTGCGTGGTATCCGTTGACGCAGACGAGTCCGCCTCAGAGAAAGCGGTTGGTGGGTGGAGCGGGGGTGAACATGTGGGGAAATTCCACATTTGAAAATGGACTCGCCTTTATAGAAGGCTCCTCCAAATCCAGTTACATGGGACTGCTCCGTACAGAGTGAGAATTCAAGAACATATATTATCATGATGCATGCATCCGGAAATTATCTTATTAAAAACCGTTGTCGTTCACACAATCTATCAGAACTGTTATTTTTATCTCGAAAACGTATACTAGACCATGAAGATCATGATGCGCACTTGCAGGTTCTATATCTACTCCCAAGCTCTGTACAGGACTACACAACTATCCAAAACGGCTTTAAAGGCATTCCAAAAGCGTTATGCGATCGACCCTGGAGTGTCCGTTTCATGCCACGGTCCCAACAGCTGAAGAACGTCCCTCTTTACAGCCATCCCCGTCATCTTCGGGTCCAAGGTGGAGGCGCACTCACGAAGCGGGAGCTGTTGTCGTTGCGGACTGTCTTAGCGTTGCCGAAGGCCTCCAGCACCGGGTTGGTCTGGACGACCTGGTCCTCCAGGTTACCCTGTGTCCACCCAGAGTGTGCTTAGTGGCGGCGGCAACACATCGGCTTGGTCCTGCATCCAGGCTACCCTGCTATCCAGGCTACCCAGGCTAGCCCATCATCCAGGTTGCCCCGCGCGGGTTCAAGGAGCGATCGCGGTTCGAGCAGACTGGGTCTGATGGCAGCAGTCACAAGGTATGGTCAAAATACCGGCTGAATAGAGCTTATTGATGCGGAGAGTGCGGCAGGTCTAATCCAGTTTACAATGGACACATCACGCTCTGCACATCTGCAAGTGATCAAGCAGCAATAAACTCACGAAACGGAGAGACAGATCCCAGTAAAATACTTTTCCTTGACCACACCACTCTGGCCTAACCAACAGAGACTCTTACAAAGGGAGTCTCTACTCCGCGCGCTTACAGAACCACTGGAAAACTAGCGATGCCTTGTTAGACAGCATGCAGAGGGCGCAGCCATGTTAATTCAGAGCAGCTTGACGCAATGCGGCATCATGACGTCATAGCAGGACATGCCATCATGACGTCACATCAGGACATGACTGTTCCCGCTTCACATTCCGCCGCCACCGTCATCTACATGGGACATGCATGCGGGACACCGGGGTGACAGACGTGACAGACGTGAAGACGTGAAGACGTGAAGACGTGACGGACGTGAAGGCGCTCGCCGGACACGTTTGGGAGATGAGGCGAAGACGTTCGCTCCAGCCGGTCACAAGGGGCGGAGGGGGAGGGGGAGGGGGGGGCGGAAGATTCAGTCTCCCGCAGTCCGCTCTAGACTGAGGTTCACATGCCCCTGGTCACCGACCAGGGTTCAGACCCGGCAGACAGTGCAGTCCCGTAGCTGGGAGTTGGGGAGTGGCACACGGGACACGCGAGGGTCACTCGGAGTGCTTGGGTGGCATGCCACGGCGCAGGCCGGTCTCGCGGCTCTGGGGTCACGCGCAGAGGCCAGGTCAGCCGGCCAGCCGCTCCTCCCACCCCGGGCGTCGGTTGGTGATGAAATGTAGTTTAAATACCCGTCTGGATAACTGCAGACGCAGTTTAAACTGCATTTTAAATGCCCGTCTGGAAACTGCGTAAAGGCAACGGGGCTTCTCAGTGTCAAGCGAAATAAAGCCGAATCTTTTTTACTTCGTTTGCAATCGCACGATATAAAAGCTCATTTCGGTTGCATATCGCTGATGAAAATATGACTCAAACCTGTCATTCACCACCACTCTGCCCGGCGTGAAAGGTCGTCATCACGTGCAGGGTAACACCACCACCCAGCCGCCTTGTCCGAGGGGCTGTCGCCTCCCGGTACAGCGCGGGGCGGGTCACGCGCCGGCTATCCTGTGCCAGTGTACGGGTCAGGGGGAGGGGGAGGGGAGCACGCGGGGACGATCGGGCCGAGCCGTCGGCCGATAATTCACGCAGCCGACGCCAGGCGGCGCCACCGGTCACCTTGCCCTCCTCCTTCTTCTTGCCCGAGGCGCCGACGTTGGCAAAGTACGCGATTACCTTCTTGGTGTTCTCGGTCTTTCCTGCACCCGACTCGCCGCTGTGGGGAGAGGCCTCGTTGAATGGGACGTCGGGACCGGGGCTCTCTGTGGAGGCCAGGCTGGGCGGCGAGAGGCATGGTAAAGCATCAGGCGCCGGGGAGCGCGAGTCGTTCACGAGCTCTCAAACTGGACGATTTTGACAGGTTTAATGTTAAGTGTTTTCTCTGTGAATATCATTTTGCACAAGAGCTCACGCTGTGCAAAACTGAGACCGAAATGCGGGGCTTGTCACAAAGAGTCATGTGAACGCTCCTAGCCCACAATTTAGCAGTAAAGTACGCATTTGTGCGTCATCGGAATGTGCTCCAGCACCGCAGTCGAGGGCTGTGATCGACGCGAGCGCCACCGTGCGCTGTTAATGTGCTTTACGCATGCAACAGTCGCCGGCGTCATATTAGCACGCTGTGCGCCGAAGCTGCCGCGCGCCGCTCCGCCTCTCCGCCGCGCCGCCGGCGCCAGCTGACCGCGCCGCCAGCTGACCGCGCCGCCAGCTGAACACGCCGTCAGCTGACGCGCGCCTCAAGCAGCCGAGCTGAGAGCGTGTTTGTCTGGCCCAGAGCGGGACTTACGCCGCAAGCAAACTTCTGCTTGAAGCCGGATGGGGCGATGCGCGCAAAGTACATGATGACCTTTTTGGTGTTCTCCGTCTTGCCAGCGCCACTCTCACCCCTGGTGGGTCAGCCGGTCGTGTGAGTGGTATCACGACATTGAGGAAGGCCTCCGCCAGTGTTGCAGGCAGGAGGGGGGGGGGGGGGGCGGCTGAACAGCGACGGGTGTTTTAAGGGAGTCAGTTGACCCCGGAGTGGGTGATGCAAGCCGGTTTCCAGAACAAGAGGCCGCTGTGGTGAAGGTCGGCAATTTTCCAGAACAAGAGGCCGCTGTGGTGAAGGTCGGCAATTTTCCAGAACAAGAGTCCGCTGTGGTGAAGGTCGGCAATTTTCCAGAACAAGAGACCGCTGTGGTGAAGGTCGGCAATTTTCCAGAACAAAAGACCGCTGTGGTGAAGGGCGGCAATTTTCCACAAGAGGCCGCTGTGGCGAAGGTCGGCAATTTTCCAGAACAAGAGACCGCTGTGGTGAAGGTCGGCAATTTTCCAGAACAGGAAACCGCTGTGTTAAAGGTCGGCAATTTTCCAGAACAAGAGACCGCCGTGGTGAAGGTCGGCAATTTTCAGAAAAGTGGCAATTGTCTCTATGGATAATCACTTCAGCTTCCTTTGGCCATAGCTGTATGTGCTTAATGGCAGTCGTGTCAAAGTCGCATGCGACCCTCGCTGACAGCCATTGCTTTAGTCAGATCACCAGGTAGCACTAGATGGATTCTTTCAATCAAATTCATCCGTTGCACTCGTGATAACCAAGTAAACCGGTCCGAATCGGTTACAACGCAAAACTGCTTCAGGCGGACTTCGATGACTCCCAGTTGAGCCTGTAAAGTGGTGGTTATTTGCGTCACTTGTATGGCACTCATGGTATAAGCTCAACCTTGTCACACCCTGGACGCCATTTCCACTCTCCCTTCCCTTCTATGGAAGCACGGAGATAGAAATTACCGGTCAGTACAAAATGAAACAGACCGTGCGTAAACAAGCTGCCGTTTCCGACAGGACAAAGGTTCTTTCACTGACAGAGGTCACGAAACTGACCAACAAGGTTGTCCATGAGTGGATACCCTCAAACATTCTGAGCAAAAATGCTCAGCCCTAATTTGGCCGGGCCGGATACTTACGTAATCAGCATCGACTGGTTCTCATTGTCTGAAAAAGACAGAGCGATCATCAGCTATGTGACGGCACAAGCCGACATTATTCTCTCGCCCCAGCATAAGCAAACATCCCCGGGCAGCATCAGCCGCGCCGAAACCAGCCGACAGGTGTCAGCACCGGCGCCGCGCCCGATTTAGACGCCTTCCAGCGCTGGCCTGGATTCCAGCGGCGGCCGCGCGGCGCGCCAAAAATAGGGCGCGTAAAGCGATCTGCGCGCGCCTGCGATCGGCGCCGGAGCGCAGGTATCGCTGCAGGTGGGGCTGGGCGGGGCGGCCCCGTCCCGGAAACGGCGGCACAGCTGACGGGAGGGGGGGGGGGGGAGGGGGGGGGCGCAAGAAGGCGACTGAGCAGCTGAAGACGGCCCGGTTCAGGTTGCCACAGCGTGTCCGATGGATGGAAATGGTCGATGAGATTGTAGCTGCAGGCGACTGGGAGTGATCGAGGGCAGAGGTGTCTTGTGATCAAGGTGTCAAGGTGTGATCAAGGTGAAAGGTGTCTTGAAATACATCGATGTAAACAGCAAACCGAACAAAACATAGTTCCATTTTGCCACTTTTTATGAAACTTCATACAACACTGATAAAACCTGCCCTTTCAAATGGTGGTATTTGCATGCACGATATGACCGTAGCATTTGACGAGCTGTTTAAACGTGGGCACTCGCAAATGCTTGCTAAATATCTTCAGCACATGATTAAGACGCGAAGACCCATGGCCATGAATAAGTCAGTGTCGAGATATAATTGCCCTCTCGTTTGTACCTATTTTCCAAGCCAGCGAAACAAGGGCGCCCTGTTCCGGCCTGAGCGGATACATAAGTTGGCCACCGCGAAGTGACAGTCCGCGCCAGAAAGAAAAATCGGTGCATAATTACAAACAATGGGACACTGTCTGTCTGTCACTGCAAACAAAGGAGCTGATGCATGCTAAGAGCTTGGTGGAGGCCTAATTATCGCCGCCACTTATCCTTGAGCACGTGTATTTTGTATCTGCAATATCTAGATAAGTTCATGCCAACAGACTGTCAAAAGGTCTGTCCTAACGCGTAACATGCAACCCGCACTTGGGCTACCATGTCATCGAATGGCGCATCCCGCACGGGCCGGCTCGTGCGTACCGTCCCATTGGTACATTCACGTCTCGACTATTTTCACAACAGTCCAGCACCGAATTATGCCGAAACGCCGGGCTAGCGGCCGACCGCCCCGGCCCAGCTCGCTCCCCCCCCCCCCCCCAGCGGACGCGCCGTCGACGACTGCCACTCACTGTTCATCATGTCCGTGTAGGCGCCGTCCGAGATGGCGAAGATGTGCGGCGGCACTTCGTTGCGCCTCTTGCCCTTGTAGATGGCGATGGCGCGGTTGGTGTAGATCGGGAACCGCTTGTACGGATTGATGGCCACGCAGAAGAGGCCGGAGTACGTCTGCCGGTGCCAGGGAGGGCATGAGATTCAGCTCCAGGTGGAGTGGGCTAAAGTGGTACTTCTGTCGGCGCCAGGGAAGGCGTGAGATCCAGCTCCAGGTAGGGTGTGTCGAAGGGGTAGGTGTTGGTGCCAGGAGGAGACTGAGTCCCAGGTAGGAGTGGCGAAAGAGGCCCGCGCAGGTGTGTCAGTGGCAGGAGAGGAGCGATGAGTAGGTCAAAATGTAACCGCGTCCTCTCTTTTGCTCCCATTGTCCAACCCCGTAACAAGAACCCAATGACGCCAGGACTGGATGGGATAAAAAGGGCCGCAGATGAGTTAAAATTGCGGCCTATGTGGGGAGGAGGCAAGACACCGAAACCCTGGCTCTTAAGGAAAGACGGGCGGGTGACCTGAGGTCACGAGGAAGTTGTCAGGTCGAACTGACTTGAGAACATTGAGGGACAAGGTGGAAACTGCAATATTAGGAATGGGTTCGAGCTGTTGGGGGTATTTCACGGTCAAAATCATACAGAGATAACCTGACAAAACCTGTGACAAGTGGGACATTTTCAGATTGACATAATGCAAGATTGACAGGGAAACCATGACGTCGTAATGATACACTGGCTGGGGAATTACGGAAATAAGGTCATTCAAAGCTGTCAAGAAAGTTGCAAACAGACTACCGAAGAAGATAATTCAGTGGACGGTCGAGAGAGGTCCGTATCGGCCGTGAGACAGATCTTGATGTCACAGTTAAGTGCCCAATTAGATAAAATGGATATTGTGTTGTGGCCATATAGGAGGGTATGCTTACATCGCTCCCAAGTGAATCGCAAGCGCATTCCTGCTGTTGGAGGCCCTCATGCCGAGGAATCACCCACAGCGGTGAAAGTCTGGATTGGGTAAAAGCTCAGGTGATGATGTTGACCAACATGCACACCACACGCAGCGGATGCAACTCACGTAGATGAGCTTGATGAAGTAGCGCTGCTTGAGGTTATGCAGGACCGAGGCGTCGTTGAGGTAGGTCAAGTTGGACATGTCCTCGCACTTCTCATACTTCGGCGGGTTCACCTGCTGCACCTGCTCCTTCTTGACACTCTTGTCCTGTGGCGTTAGACATGACGTCAGGGAAACGATGATGGCGTCATTGTTGGTTTGGTTCAGTTTCAGTGTCGGGCTTCAGTCAGCTGCTCAATCACACATGGATTACAAAAGGAGTAAGACATCCAGTCAGATGAGTAAGACATCCTGTCAGATGAGGGGTAAGACATTAAGTCAGATGAGAAGTAAGACCTCCAGTCAGAAAAAGAGTAAGACATCAGGTCAGATGATGAATAAGACATTCTGCCACATGGGAGACGAGTAAGACATCCAGTCATGAGAAGTAAGACATCCATTCGGACGGGAAGTAAGACATCCAGTCAGATTAGTAGTGAGACATCCAGTCAGATGAGGAGCAAGACATCTATTCACACATTTGTTCACAGGTTAAGCCCATATTTCGGCCGGACATTTCACCACGCACTCGGGCACACAATCGGTCCGACAACCGGCCAGACTTTAGATCAGACACTTAGACAATTATTCGAAACGGCACCTATTTGAGTAGACATATTGAAGCAATGCAACATCCCTTTGGCGGGTCTCTAATTCAGATACTTGGTTACACAACTTTAGAAGGAGCTGTCGACATCAAGAGTGTATGTGGTGTACAGGTCCAAGCATCAGTATAAGGAATGGACTACTAGCCATGTACGGTGCAAGTTTGACCGCGAGCGTATTTCTTCTAAACCAGCAAAAGCACCTCAATCCCCATGTTCGCTTGTGTCTCACCACCGTACCATCACTAGGCAGCGCTCCAAACTGTGCTTAGCTCGCCAGGCTAATTTTTAGCTGGAATGCGATTGGAGAATTACGTGTCAATGGGGGAGGAGGGGGGGGGGGGGGGGCGCTTTTACGAATGCAAATGGTGAAGTACCTATACCGTAACGTAAACCGGGTAGTGCGCCGACTAATATGAACGTGAGTGATCAGGTATGACATGGTGTGATCTTGTGCCATCACTGCGACTGCGTGCCATCACGAGCCAATCACGGCCGCCGCACGTAGGGGGGGGGGGGGGCGGGCCCGGCCGCAGCCCGGGCCCCCGTCTGACTCCGACTCACGTCTCCGCCGGGGATGGAGACGGTGACCAGGTCACCCTTGGTGCCGGTGATCTTGCCCTGCACGAACCCCTCCTCCGCATCGGGCACCCATGCGGCGACCTTGGCGTCGAACGGCTTGTTCTGGTCGATGCGCTTCTGCTCCAGCGACACGTACCTGTCAGGTCAGGTCAGGTCGGGTCAGGACAGGTCGGGTCAGGTTGTGTCAGGTCGGGCCAAGTCGGGCCACGTCGGGTCAGGTCGGGAAAGGTCAGGTCGCACGCAATGAGAGAACAGGTCACGTGGATGGGCTGGCTCACGTGAGTGGCTCAGGTCGTGCGTGAAGTCCAGGAACGGTGTTCAGCTCGGGTCATGCGCGGGTTGTCCGTAGGTCTGGCCACATGAGCAGTTTAGGTTAGGTTACATAGGTCATAATAGGTCATAGTATGCGAGTATCATCGTGTTGGGATCAGTCTCGTGCATAGGTTATGTCATGACAGCTCAGGTCATGTTCATTAGAGAGATGAGATCACATGTGAAGGTTGTGTCTACCAAAGGTCAGGCAGATGTCGGCGCTCTACCCTATCACACGTTCCATGCGGGCCAGATCAGAACACACATACACTGGTAATGTGAGATCACGTATACGGTACAAGTCCAGAGACCTCGGTGGGCGCCAATGCACAAAACGAACCGCGGAACTGGATTCACCAAGACACCCATCCAAAGTTGGCGTGACTTATCATAAAGCTAGAGCAGCCAGCTTTGAGCTGGTAAGCTCCGTGTGCTTACCGCTAGGAAATATCCTTATGCTGGTCCGGTGAAAAAGAAGTTAAGCCAACCGGCAGTGTTAAAGTAACCTATATACTGACGACTGTAATCACTAGAGTCGTTGGCGTCCGCACCCTCTCTTAGATTCTATACCAGCAAATAGTTCCCTACTCGCGCTAAATACAACGTTCTGCCGTGACACAAAATACATTACATTACATAGCACTTCACTCGAGTCTAGATTACCCGGCGGCGGCGGCGGCGTACCCATAGGTACAGGGTGGGGTCCGCGGGTGTACTCTCAGGTATGGGTCCTAGGGTATCCACTCACGGGGTGGGGTCCTAGCGCGCATTCACAGGTAGGGTGTGGGATCCGCGTGTGTACTCACAGGTAGGGGTGAGGTCCGGGAGTGTACTCACAGGTAGGGGTGGGATCCCCGTGTGTACTCACAGGTGGCGGGTGGGGCCCGGGGTGTACTCACAGGCAGCGGGTGGGACCCACGGGCGTACTCACAGGTAGGGGATGGGGTCCGGGAGTGCACTCACAGGTAGGGGTGGAGTCCGCGTGTGTACTTACAGGTGGGGGGTGGGGCCGGGAGTGCACCCACAGGAAACAGGTGGGACCCACGGGCGTACTCACAGGAAGGGGGTGGGGTCCGGGTCATCGGACGGGTCGGTCTTCTTGATCACCATGGTGGCGAGCGCGGGACTTCGAGAGGGAGCAGACCCCGGCGGGCTGAGCCGAGCAGCGGCGACGGTCGGTGCAGAACAGACCGAGCGCTAGGAGACGATCCTCCCTGCGACATAGGCAACAGATGGAGTCATAATGACGTCACAGTCGACACTGAGCAGATCGACCGCCAGCAGACGATCCTCCCTGCGTCACAGGCAACAGATGGCGTCATAATGACGTCACAGTCGACACTGAGCAGACCGAGCGCTAGGAGACGATCCTCCCTGCGGCACAGGCAACAGATGGAGTCATAATGACGTCACAGTCAACACTGAGCAGACCGAGCGCTAGGAGACGATCCTCCCTGCGACATAGGCAACAGATGGAGTCATAATGACGTCACAGTCGACACTGGGCAGACCGAGCGCTAGGAGACGATCCTCCCTGGGACATAGGCAACAGATGGAGTCATAATGACGTCACAGTCGACACTGAGCAGACCGAGCGCTAGGAGACGATCCTCCCTGCGGCACAGGCAACAGATGGCGTCATAATGACGTCACAGTCGACACTGAGCAGACCGAGCGCTAAGAGACGAGCCTCTCTGCGGCACAAGCAGCATAGGGCGTCATTATGACGTCACAACCGACACAGGGCGGATCGACCGCCTGCAGACGAACTTCCCTGCGTCGCAGCGGAATGAATGACCTCACAATGGCGTTATACAATGGAAAAGGGAAGATATTAAGCGCTTCGAAACGACACTCCCAATGGCACAGGCAAACCGATTGCGTCATAATCACGGCATGCAGTCGGCAGGGAACAGCTCGAAGGTTAGGAAACCACCGCTCTCTGGCACAGCGGTCAACTGGCGTCATCATTACGTCACACAGACGATACAAAACAGCTCGAGCACGAGCACTGAGAGACGTCCCTTCTCCTGCCGCAGGTGGACAAATGGCATGATAAGATGGCTTTGCGCAGTCGTCCCACAACAGAACAAGCTCTAAGAGTCGATGCTCCCCTTGCCACAGGTCTATAACGTCATGAGTGACGTCGCACAGTCAGCACCACGCGACCATGTCAGCACTCCGACGAGCGGATACATTACAGATACATAAATACACAGAACAGATACATAGATTTAGAGTTGTCGTCACAGGTGCAACACGGTCAGCTGACCGCGCAGGTCAGCACGAGGAGGTCACCGCAAAGACAAGGTCACGGTTAATTAACATAAGCAATAGGTGAAATGTCGCCAACACGGGCTTTTGTCGAACGGCACGGGCGGCACGGCACTAACGGAAAAACATGGAATGGCACTGGCGCTAGTCATGATTACCACCCTGGTGAGGCTAGTTGGCTAAGCCAAGATTACAATCCACAACCAGCGTTTCAGTTGAAACTTGCATGATTGCATGATTGTTGAAACTCGCATGATTCAAATGTTCAGATCGCGATTAAAAGGGCGTTCCAAATTCGGAGATATTGAGACAGGCATCAGATATGATCGAAAAGGCCATTTGTAATTTTAAGTATGTTTTAAGTGTCAAACTGCTTTAAATGACAATATATCACAATTTAGCAAGTCTGCTCCTCATTACGTAAAAGTTGTAATATGCCATGAAACACGTTCAAGACGTCAGATTCACTGCTCGACTGGCCGTGTCAGAGTTGCCACCGAAGCGAACGGCGTGACTCACTTGCAGTGTTTATGCGCTGCAAGATGGCCTTCGTGACTGTGTGTAAAGTTATGTGATAAACGGCATTTATATGTGTTTCGGTCTTTTGTCGTAGTGTTATATATTTCCCGTGATGCCATGGTTTTCCTTGCATTTGCATTCTCGATCACGGCGATATTATTAAGCTACCGGACTCTCAGTCTCATCTCCGTCATAAACAAACTGCTCAAATGCTTGTGGCATTCATCACAAAACGCGGCGCGTAATCGAGGCATGCAGCCAGAGGCTTTGGGTTTTAACCGAAGCTTTAGCTCTGTAGCTTTTTAGGCTGTCAACCAAATTCTGTCAGCCGATGCGACCAATCATGATGGCGTACACCAGAAGCCAATATTCCAACGGTCTGTTTTCATCTTACGCACATTACCACCATTGGGGTGGGGGAGTTCCTGTCACGTTTGTATGGCGTCATACGCGCCTGGATATGTTCGAATCAAGGAGCGCCAAATATTCTGCATAAATTTGCGTCGTCTAGCTCAGAAACAGAGAGGCTGGAGACCTTAAAAGGGTATGACCGTGATTTGCAAGGAATGATGTTGTAAATGGCTTACGCAGTTCAAACCCCCATTTAAATGTGGAACAGCCACTTTCCAATTGACCCATGACAACACAACGTCCACCGCTATATCAGAATTTGATGCAGTATCTTTATTCTTGCCAGGCGAGGAGAATACCGCCATTAAGTGGTATTTCTGAGACGATGGGAAATGAATGATGAAAGTGTTATTAACTTTGACTCAGCTGATGATTACTTGAAAATAAATATCCTTGGGCAATGCCAGGTCACCAGGCTACGCCTTTGAATGTTTTCTTAGCTGTTAGATGATACACGCCGTGCTTGTGCTTTTCATTGTGGATATATAGTTACAATGGACACAGCACATGTCCATAATGATGATTATCTAGCACAGTGGCCAGCTTCAACTAGGTCACTGATGCCTCCTGGGTCGAACGTGGGTAGTAATGTGTGATGACCTTGTGTGACCTTCGATCGGTCCCAGACCATTTGGTTTGCACTTAGTGGAGCGGCGTATGTTTTTCCACAAAATCAAGTCTGTGGCATGAAAGTTTACTGGTTGACTTGAGTGGGCTCAACTGAGCAGCGATACATGTCTCGGGCAACACGCTATCCACTGGTTTTCGTCCCTTGGGCGTAGCTCAATAAGTGACCTCATGGGGGGGGGGGGGGGGGGGGGGGGGGGGAGTAATACGCACCACCACCCAACGCTCCGCTCTCCAGGGACGCGTGTGAAAACATCGCTCCAACACCACGAAGCTCAACACACATGATGATCATATATGCTTCGGTATGTGCTTTCGCATAACGCTGCGTGAACGTTACGAATGGTATGTTATGAACGTTACGATGAACCCATGAACGTTTCGAACGGATGAACGAACAGAAAGTTGCATGTCCGCAAATTTCATCGAATTGATAGGTTATCTAAGATCGTTTTACCTATCAAACGACGCCCATTTTCGCCCTTCTAACCGTCGCCGTAAGTGCGAAAAACCTGCGGCCTGACTCACGCGGTCTCTTCTCTGCAGAGTGGTGGCGTGGTATTTTGGGAGAGCTGCAGTTTCAGCTATTGGCAGAACGCAGTGATCGTTGCCAGTCTGGTATGACGTCATCACATAATCAGCTGATTGAGATCAGGTATCTGAGGATGGTCGAAGCCGTTTGGTTCGAGCGGCCATTTCGGATAAACATTATGGGAATGGCCATTTTGGTTGAGATCCATTGTTTGAAACCCGGGACGTACCCGGCAGCACAAATACAGGCAGAGGCCATCACCTGGCAGCTGAAAGGAATGTTTTACCTTTATACGGCATTTTGAGCCGAAAAACTAGGTTGCCTCCTCACAGCACACTGATTACTATCTGGTTGAAAATAACCATTTTTGATAACCTATATTATACACTATAAGTACACTAGTTAGGGCCTAGACTGCTTCAGTTTTTATCCTGAAATAATTCACTTCAGGTTACATTTGTTAAGAGCGTATTTAAGCACGATTCAAGCGATGGTGTCTCTTGGAGAAAGCAAGAATTTCATTGGTTGATAGACTCTGCCCGTAAAGTGAGTCTCTCCGGCATGCGCACACATATGTATCTGCCGAAGTTAAATAGCACAGAGGTCTTCGATTAGATTCCAACAGGTGGTAATTTCTACTCTCTTAGAACGGTGACGAGCCGATGATTAATGAAATGACGATTATCAAAGCAGCGTGAACACAATTTCGTTCATTCGTCACTTACTCTTGCAAAGATGTAGGATGGCTGTATAGTCGTTGCAGGGAACATTCAAAAGCTTTAAGTTGTTCGGGTACTGCAAGATAAGGCTTCTAATTCTTTTCCGCAAAAGGTATGTTATCGATAAAAAGCGAAACACTGTATCTACTGCTTGCTCTCGGCTTGTATGATGCTGCTACAATGTGCAAGCCATCTACGTCATCAAGGATCGAGCAGAGGGTGCGAAAACATCGGGCAATAGAAAATAATGCCTTGATACTAAGCGTTGGAGGTACCTGTGGATAGCGATGTGAGGCTGATGCTAACAAATCTATTTATTTATGTATCTCCCCAGCCCTCCCCCCTTCCACTCCACGCCCATTCATTGTAATTTTGAGCATGCTTGGATGCATATTTTAGCGAGTTTTACGGCTGCGAGCTCAATAATGTTGCAGAGTTGCAGGGATTGTACTGGACATAACTGCATCTGGCATGGTTAACGTACAGAGAGACGGCACTGCATTCATCAAAAGAAACCAAGATAATGAAAAATGCGACTGTATTTAGTGTCCTGCATCATTGCAATATCATTTCAAGAGATCACAATAGGATAAGCCATGAGACTTTATTGTGTAAGGTACAAAAATTAGACCTAAAATGTCCAGAAAACACTGACGTCACTAGATCGCCGTCTCGCTGCTTCTGGGCGATCACCAAAATCACGTGACCCATCTCTGACATCACAGAGGTATGTCGGCTCACGGTCTGCGGCGGTCCTTCAGCTCCTGTTCGTCCACACACACACAGACACACACACCCACAGGACTTGCCACGGGGCCGACACGCGCCGCGCTCCTCGACTTACGTCCGGCCTTCGTTCTGTGACACCGACTACCCGCAGGGCCCGCTTTATAACCTCAGGTCATTCGACACCGGCCGCCGCCCGGCCGGCCGATGAGACCTCATCGCTGATTGGCGCTCGCCGGCAGGCACATCGACTGCCGGCCGCCTGGACCAATCAGCGCGCGCAAGACTGGGCGTCGGTGAGTCAGGCCTGGAACGTCCTTTCCGAGGGTCTGAGGCGCCCTGGACGGCTGGAAATATCAGCTGACAATCTCAGCTGGAAATCTCAGCTGGAAATATCTGCTGGAAATATCAGCTGGAAATATCTGCTGGAAGTATCTGCTGGAGACCTCAGCTGGAAATCTCAGCTGGAAACATCGGCTCGAAATACCAGCTGGAAACCTCAGCTGGAAACCTCAGCTGGAAATATCAGCTGGAAATCTCAGCTGCGAATCTCAGCTGAAACTATCGGCTGGCAATTTCAGCTGATGATCTCACCTGGAAACCTCAGCTGGAAATCAGCAGCAGCAGTCCCTTTTTGGAAAATGGACACGAGGAAGTTGAGGATGTTTTAATTTTCTAAGATGTTGCTGGTGCACCACCAGTAAGTATAGTTTCGTATTGCACATATGGTCGCGTTCTCAAAGAATGAACGCGCAGTCTCCCAAAAACATCATTCATGCACCAAATTTTAATTTGCAATGGTGGCACTTTGCTAGATACCACCGAGACAAATTTCTTGTCGCGTTACGCAGTCGAGGCGCTGTGTCGAGGCTATAGAAGTTCGCGTAGAATCTTAAGATAATTGGTTGACAGAAGAGCCCTCCACAGTGCACCCTCCACAAAGCTCCGAGCCAATCTTTAAACGATACAAAATTGGGAAATTATCGGATATCACTAAATCCTAAATGTTGCTTGTGGCGCAGAAACCTCCAGCTTCACAGCTTCCTGCATCATTCGATTTAATATACAAACTCTACGAATCAAATGAAATGCATATGAGGTGAGTAAAACATTTAGACCAACCTGTCACTAATCGTAATTATAGACTAGTTACAACATCTTACCTTGGCCCTAAATTGCAGAACGATATTATGATTTCATTTTCCAGGAATAACTGATATCTATGCATCAAAAACCACCGTTAAGAAAATCATCAACAAGCATTTCGTGAATGCATATTAACGTAACCAACATATCTGAAGTTGCAATGCTTTGTCCCGCACGTATGTAATTCATTCCATATTTAGCCTCCCTCATGCTCCTCAATCACGTTCTGATGTAACTGACAAAAAATGGCAAAAGACAATCTCGATTCAGACTCTTTGGGTAATCTCGATTAAGACTCCTTGGAATACTGTGCTTGAACTTTGCCCACCGCCGCAGTTTTGATGCCAGATACTATCGCTTACCCATGATACAGAAATGGATGCACGTTAAAGGTAATGAAAACGCGTTTTTAAAGGGTTATCTTTGGTTGAAAACTGGCCCAAGTGGGATTTCTCGCCATTTAAAAGTCTTTGGGTCATGGCTGATGCGCATGAGCTGCGTAAAGCATTTGTGGTCGTAAAAAGCTGGCTTGTGTTTCAGATGGAAACAATTGACCTACGCTCTAGCCTAAATATTTCAGGCAGTTTGCAGCATAGTCGAATTACGGGCTGAACTGAAGGAAGGTGGGAGCGCAATGTCTGAATGGAATTCTCTCGTACATTGCCGAACGGTCGGAAAAAATGAGTGGGGTGGGAACGAGAGTCAAAAATGTTTTATATCGTAAAGTTCAGCTCGCTTATATTTAACACTTATTCCTTGTGCATTTGCTGTCATGTGACTCGAGTCCATTTTTCCTCGCTGAACAACGGTGAGAAAAAAGAGTGGTGCATTGATATTTAGGCTACATCCCGTTCTCTAAATATCAATGAGTAGCGAGTTCAGCTTGAGCCGATGAAGCAAATAAGCGGTAATTTAATGCTGTTTGATCATTCTAGAAAGGCATGCAGCCGAACTCTTAAGGTATCCCTCTTTTTCTTCTACTTGTTCAACGAGGAATATGTTTTTTCACATGTCACAGGGTAAATAAAGCATACGAAATGACACACGATTAACGTAAACACACAGTACACTATCGATGTTCAAGTTCCTATCCGATCTCCGAGTCATATAACACATGTCATTTGGCAAACCACATAGAACCCTACACGATTGTCACAAACACGTATAAAAACCATCAACACTCAGGATGAAAGCTGGCGTAGTCAGAGACGTTTGTCAAGAGGCGACAAATAGTCTGCTCGGCTCTGAGAAGAGGCGATGGCCGGGGACAAGCAGCTCCTGAACGGGGCCACGCGCTATGAACACGACCGGCGAGGCGTCAATAAGGGGAAGGTAGGCAGCTCCAGAGCACCATCACAGCTGATGTTGTGACATGCCCACTCAAGCCGGAGGTTTAGCCGCGAGGAGTGAACAGGGACTGCGCCGCAGCAGTGGCGCGAGGGGTGAACAGGGGCCGGGCCACCGCAGCGGCACGTGGTGTGAACGGGGACCAGGACACCGCAGCGGCACGTGGTGTGAACGGGGACCAGGACACCACAGCGGCACGTGGTGTGAACGGGGGCCGGGACACCGCAGCGGCGCGTGGTGTGAACGGGGACCAGGACACCGCAGCGGCACGTGGTGTGAACGGGGGCCGTGACACCGCAGCGGCACGTGGTGTGAACGGGGGCCGGGACACCGCAGCGGCACGTGGTGTGAACGGGGGCCGGGACACCGCAGCGGCACGTGGTGTGAACGGGGGCCGGGACACCGCAGCGGCACGTGGTGTGAACGGGGGCCAGGACATCGCAGCGGCACGTGGTGTGAACGGGGACCAGGACACCGCAGCGGCACGTGGTGTGAACGGCGACCAGGACACCGCAGCGGCACGTGGTGTGAACGGGGGCCGGGACACCGCAGCGGCGCCAGGGGTGAACAGGGGCCGGGCCACCGCAGCGGCGCCAGGGGTGAACAGGGGTCGGGACACCGCAGCGACACGTGGTGTGAACGGGGACCAGGACACCGCAGCGGCACGTAGTGTGAACGGGGACCAGGACACCGCAGCGGCACGTGGTGTGAACGGCGACCAGGACACCGCAACGGCACGTGGTGTGAACAGGGGTCGGGACACCGCAGCGGCACGTGGTGTGAACGGGGACCACGACACCGCAGCGGCACGTGGTGTGAACGGGGACCGGGACACCGCAGCGGCACGTGGTGTGAACGGGGGCCGGGACACCGCTGCGGCACGTGGTGTGAACGGGGGCCGGAACACCGCAGCGGCACGTGGTGTGAACGGGGACTAGGACACCGCAGCGGCACGTGGCGTGAACGAAGACCGGGACACTGCAGCGGCACGTGGTGTGAACGGGGGCCGGGACACCGCAACGGCACGTGGTGTGAACGGGGACCAGGACACCGCAGCGGCACGCGATGTGAACAGGGACTGCGCCGCCGCAGCGACACGTGGTGTGAACGGGGGCCGGGACACCTCAGCGGCACGTGGTGTGAACGGGGACCAGGACACCGCAGCGGCACGTGATGTGAACAGGGACTGCGCCACCGCAGCGGCACGTAGTATGAACGGGGGCCGGGACACCGCAGCGGCGCCAGGGGTAAACAGGAACCGCGCCACCACAACGACGTTGGCGTCACGCCGAGCCCTAAAAACGCTGCTGTCGTGAGGCCAGTCCAGGGCCTCCAGCACCGGAGAGACGCGACCTAAAACCCGCCCGCTGAGGCGACCCGGCCGTTAAGTTCAGCGCCCTTTGTACGCGGCTGGAGAGCCGGCGGCGGCCCCACTCCAAACTGGGAGACAGTGCAGCATGTGGGCAGAGAAGAGAGCTCGGACTAAGAGGCGACGGATCTCGGGTGTGGGATGGCAAGAAATGTTAACAGACAAAATGGTGCAGTTGCACTTTTTCATTTATAGAATTGTGTTTGCCTTTGGAAAATCTATTTGCATGGTATTGATAGAGAAACGCTTGCTGTTCACGGTGATTGCGCCGCCAGAACTGAAGTATGGGGATTGAGGGTGGACGAACAATACCAAAGGTTCCTGAACAGTCAGCGGCATCCATAGAGTCTTGGTGTTGCTTGAGATTGTGTGTTGTACCAAACGTTTCTCTCGAACTCCTGCACACCCAAGGCCCCCAAATCGCACAGAAACTCTCTATTTCCCTCTCTCTCTCTCCCTCTCTCTCTCTCTCTCTCTCTCTCTCTCCTCTCTCGTCTCTCTCTCTCTCTCTCTCTCTCTCTCTCCTCATCTCCGTCTCTCTCTCTCTCTCGCATGCACTCCTCTCTCTCTCCTTCCCTCCTTATGATGAAAGGTTGAAGAGCGATGGCGTTCCAGGTGTGTTCTAGATATGGCTCGCGTTCTCGGCCTTGTGTTAAGCTGCAGCGGTCTTGGAGAGGATGGATTCTCTGCGTGTTCGCTCACGCGCATTCACAATTTCAGAAGCAAATAATGCGCGCTGAGTGGTTGTGGGCAGCTTATAATCGTACGGGCAGACTCATGACTTGCCCGGCTACGTTTTTGCCTTAAGCAGGATGTCAGTATACCCGCTAAGGATGTCTATATACGCATGCACGCTACGTGTGGATGCCATACATGTTACCTTGGAAACGTGAGTGCACACATGATTGATGTGTACATAGGCCGAGGTTTACGTGGAATACAGGTGCAAAAATGTATATGATTAGGTTACAAATGTGTTCAGAACTGTGAATGTGTAGCTGTACAAACTCTGAGTACATGTCCAATGAAATCAGAGTGGCATTCGATGATTTTGCTTTCCACGCTAGGTTTGCATGATGCGTTGTCATGCAGTCGATCAAGCGAAACACAACCGGCATCTCGTCCGCTAACCTTACATACTCCGCTAAAGGGAAGCACGATTCAGGATTCATGTGGTTAACTTTCAGAGTGCATGTGAATGCTACTGAACCGAATGCTATTAGTGCACAGCTAATTGAGAATAGCCCGACGTGGGCGCTGATGATGATAACTGTAGATAAATGGGGCAAGCCCAAACTAGATCAGCCCGTATGTCGAAGGCTTCGGCGAAGCAGGCTTAGGGTACGATGACGCCACAGCACAGAGC